CTCGTTACTAATGCAACCGACTGCATTGTTTGCATGCTTTCTGACCACGCATGTAGTCCGTGGTTCTATCCCCGACCGATGCACTCCTTCACCTCACTAAGCCACCAATAAGACTGGTAGAAAGGGAAGGTTGGTTATGAGGTCAGCAGCTCAATTCCATAAAAATAAACTCTACTGCTACTGAAAGATCAATCCTCTAGCTTGAAGCCCTATTTTCCACTGGGAACATAAGGGATTAAAAAAATACTACCGATTGATGTGAGTGATATAGAATACTCATCTTAGTCGATCAGTAGTATATCGCATTACAGCCATATGTCGGCTATTCCTTCAAAAAATGTTTTGCATCAGTGTACAACTATTCTACACACAGAAAAATATTATTCAGATTTCTACATAATCTCTGTTTTTTAAATTTTATTAATTTATTCTACTGATGTTTTTGTTTTTAATCTATAACATTTCTTCACGCAGTAAACAAATTGACTTGTATTCGGTAATAAAGAATTAAGCCCAGTTGTCTAACATGTATCTATTTTTTTAATTCGAAAAAAAATTAAAATTGATGAATTAAAATGCTTTAAATCTTCTGAATATTTAATTTTTTAATTTGGGGTAATGTACAGGGATTATGGCTGAGATATGTGCAATCTGACAGCATAATGATCAATAATAAGGTATATATTTCACTTCGCTTTGGACATGTCTTAAAGTGAAATGGAGTTTTTTGACATTTATTTTGAATATAGCAGCATTTTCAAATTCGTAGTTTGTAAATTATACAGTCTAAGGTGAACTTTCCACCATAGATTCTTTTGTAGACTGTAACTGTTCGGAACACATGCTGTAATCCACGTGATACCCTAAATAGAAATCAGTAAAGCAAACATCAGTGCTTGATGATATATATTACTGATTGTTATGAGTACTTGAATACGACTCACATCAAGCTGTGGTACTTGACAGTCATGTCGAAGTGACTAAGAAACAACACGGCTGTTTAGCTAATTCAGCTAGTTTGTAGCTAACCAGAATCTGAGTGGTTTGAAATAATTCAACTCTCTAAGCTCAGTCAAACTGGGAACACCGCAGATGAACTCCGTACTATACAAACCTAACAGGTGTCCAGTTTTAGACCACTGATCTACCTGGATTACACTACTAGTTGATGTAAGTGGTGGCTAACTGCTCCCATCAGTCGGTAGAATATATCGTCAAGCATTTAAATTACATTCGTTTTAAAGATGAAATGACTGACTACTACTCCGCCTAAAGAAACCCTTACGTTCCGATTCGAAGTCAACTAACATTAAATCACTTCCCAGTATCTCTTATTCGGTTAGTCGAAAAAGTTGTGCTTTTTAACCCATAAGGTTCCTTTAATAGTTTAAATACAACCAAAGTAATGCAAATTGGTGCATTGAAAGATTATCTGTTTATACCATAGTGTATGAGTATGTCTTTGCATTCATATAAACCAATAATGGTTTTGCTTGTTCAACATCATTGTGTCCATAATACAATTCTCATAAATCAAGAAAGCTGTAGCTTACAAGTGAATCAATTTATGCCACTTGAATTATAGTATATTTATGAGGTTGAAAGTAAAAATAAGTAAAACAGTCTTTCTTCCAACTAGTGAAGTTGTATTGTGAAAGTTCTTAAAATAATATGTCCGTTTCAAAGTTCGAAAATCTAAGTGAAGTTGATGAGTACGGGGCATTTCTTCCAGCTGTAGTACTAACTTAATACTGCTTACTACTTAAATATCCATGTATAAGTTAGACAACACTTTGGAGGATGTCATCATGAGCTGACATCAGTTAGAGAACCACCTGAAAACCTGGAAGTACTGGATAGCCAACCGTTTCCTCCTGGTTTAGGAGTCTTCAGCAGTACTCACCCATCGGGATTCGGAGTCAGTACCTTTTGGTTACAAGGCGAGCTAGCTCGTAAACCATTAAGCCACTGGCCCGCTCTCTAACTGATGTCAGCTTATGGTGAAATCCTCTGAGCAGTTAAACAAATTCTCTACAAAACCAATACTTGACAATTAGACAACACTTTCTTTTGTTTTTAATTAATAAAATCTATTCGCTTCTTCTAAAGTATGAAAAATTAGTTAAAATTCATTGTATCTACATCTTATCTGAGAGGTAATTTCTCAGTTCAACAATATAACTAGAATTGAAAATAAAACAAACAGTTTTCTTTATTTTTGTTGATAGTCTAAACTAATTCTAAAATTTAGTTCTTAGTTATTTGTTCCAGTCGTTTAAAGACAAGCTAGAGGTTGAGTAAAATCTATGTCGTCCATATTTGCAATTCATTATTAGTAGCTGGCACCTAGTATACACCTTGATATGGAGTTATTTGGAGGCGTAGAACAAAAAACAGTTTGGCTTTCAATACACTGTTTTAATTCTTTCAATTCCTTCGTTGAAAGATTTTTTTGTTTCAGCATATACATTTGATCCACTGAGTACGAGTGAATTTTGTTAAATTAAACAGTCTGTAGGCAGTTCTTAGAATGTTTTGATATTAGGCTGAACAGCAGTACAAAAAAGAGGAGCTCAGTATACTCTGTACAGATGTTTATCAGTCCTTACCCATACATGATGTACCGTTTTCATTGTAGCATTTGATATCTTAGTACATCATCAACTTCAATTTTATTTTCAAATCCTAAATAATAAAGATATTATTGATGGTGAAAAAAGTCAATTCTTTTCGCGAAGATTATCTATTCTATTATGTTTTTTTGTAAAAGTAAACATTTCTGCCAGTCATGCGGAAAAGTTCTAGCCTCTTTTCAAAATATATTTCTTTGTTTGCATCACCTTTACAACAATTGAATTCATGAATCAATCAATGATTGAATGAATGAATGAATGAATGAATATCTTCCAGTTTCACTTGTCCATTATTATAAACCTTGTTAAACATTTTGTCATATCAGCTAAAGTAATTAATAGATTGTTTCATATCACCTGATTATAAGACAATTTTATTCTCTTTTTTGTACAGAAGGAAAGTTTTAACCTATACAATAGTATTGGCTTAAGTTCAGCAGTGTATTCACTTGATAGAAACACAAAAGAAACTCTTAGATTCACCTGATTTAGCTAGATATACTCCTGATGTTTACGTTTTCCAGTGTCAAATATTATTAGGTTTAGGGTAATGGAGATTTATGTGAACCACTTTAACTAAGTACTCTATATTCTTGAGTCACTATCGACGTTCCTGCTTTATATGACGCTAAAATAATAACGACTGTCATGAAATATAACCTAAATGGTTTCATTGTTTTTCGGTAAAATACAAGAGACAAAAACACGGGATTGTAATTATTGCGAGTTATCTTCTGATGTGCTTATTATATCATTATTTTATTTTTTTTATTTTGCTCCCTAGTGTTCCTTACGGAGAATTGGGCTTTAGGTGTAAGCTCCGGATCCAAAGTAGCAATAATATGATTCTTTTGACACAGATGTGAAGTTGATTCTTCTATATAGGTTGGAGGCATGATGCTGGTTCAATAGTGAAGATCAAATGGTCAACCAGAAAGAATTAGCAACAAGAAACTATGGAAACAAACTTACCAAGAGCCGATTGCTCAACAAATATGTAGGAGAAAAGGGAACCGCACGGGGCACACACTGAGCAGACCGTCAAATGAAATCGTGCGTCAGGCTATCACTCAAGTGGAATCCGAATAAGAAACAGCGAGTGGGTCAACTGAGAGTGACACGAGGGAGATAATGCTAGGAGGAGATGAGAGATTATGGGCAATCGTGAACCCACCTGAAGTGGACAGTAGAAAATATAACAAAGTGAAGATGTGTTGTTGAAGCCCTATATTTAACTCGGAACACCAGGGAACAATAAATAATACAGTGTGGAAATGATAGTGCAACGCCTAATCTTTCTCTTTTTACTGGGTTTAATACCGGGCAGGCACGTTTTAGTAAGACGCTAGTTCGAGATCGACCTCCAAACCATATTGTTGGTTAGTGAGCATTCTATAGCTAAACTACCCACGTGATTGTATGCCTTTGCATTAGTTTTCTTTTAATAAGTCAATGTAAATAAAACATCTTTATAAAAATTCTTGTATACATGAATCTTCTGAGTACAGCTTTTCTTAGTGGAGTACATAGTCAGTTTAGTTCTACAACATGACAGGTATTCAATGTTATCTACACCAGAGCTTCTTTTTAAAAAAAGGAAACAGATTTCCAGTCTGTTTAAAATTGTCTTTAACTAAGAGGAAGTAGACTGGTACAACCATAATTGAGCTCATATCCCAAAAATTATACGATCTTTGTGATATAATGTCAGTCGTAAGTAATAAGATACTGATAAATCGTTCAACAGTTTAGTGAAAACTAATTCTATCGACTTAGACATTTATAACATGTGAGATATGCACTGAACACAGACATTTATACAAGTATCTTTGTGTATTCAAGTTGGATGTATCACCAACAAAAGATATTTTGATTTCAAATAGCACGTAGGCTTCTCAAGGAAATCATTCAGATTGTTGTAATGTAATAATCCTTTTCTGAAGAAGAATTCTAAAAGTAGATATTTCCTCAAAAAAATGATAAAATAATAAATCCGTGTGGGTGAATAATAAGCTAAATCACACATTTTTTCAGTAATGAAAGTGCTTTTTCTACAAACTGGTTCTTCATAGTTTTTGCTCGACACACCTGAACTAAAAATGGAATTTATTTTGACCAGTGTCAACTGACTCACAGGTTTTGAAATCATTTAACCGATGTTATCTGTCATAATTATATCGATCACATCTGTCATAAATTTTGGTTTATTCAAAATAATTCAGTTTGGATATCATGAATCCTAATATCAAAACTTCTCATTATCCTGGTAATATTTTGCATAGTACATCAAACATGAAGATCTTTTCAAGACCCACACAAAAATAGCTTATTGACAGCATGTAAAAATTTATGAAGCATAAAACTTACCTAGTAAGAAGTTTCTAGCACGCCATTGTGCTTTGCCTCGTTGATGTGCAACCCGGCACCTCATTAAAACTGTTTCACCTTCAAGGACTTCATATCGTTCTGCTGGTAATTCCCGTAAACATTGTAGTTTGTCTGCCTCTTCTTCTGGTGTACACGGACCAGATTGATCAACAAAGTGGGATGATGATGACGAGGAAGCAGAAGAAACTGTTTGACCTTGACGTCCAACCAAATCATAATTAGTTTTATTTATATCCATTAATCGATTGTGATACATATTGAATTGAGGCGATACAGATGGAAATTTGTTTGTTCGATTGAATTTTGATTTAGACATGGAAAAAAAATCCAAAGATAAATTAGTACGCCAATTCGAGATAACAGGTAAACCAACAGGTGGTAGTTTAGATGATATATTTCCAGTTAATAAATTTAATGTATCCGAATATGACTGATGCTTAGGCATATTAACTGTAGTATGCACAAATAACGTGGATGTTAATATTTCTACAAGTAATATTGTATAATATGAAGTAAACGAAATAACTGGATCTCTAGTATTCACCTTATAAAGCCATAACTGTTTTAAAAGTTTTAAAAACATGAACATTTCCCTAAATATTAAAAAAAAAATACTTTTTTCACTTGACAATATGCATATTATTATTAGACTTTAGCTAAAATATGTGAACATGTTTTATAAACTACGCTTTTTATCCTGCTTCTTCTTTTTCTAATGTAATCTTTCACAAATAATTTATTTTCATTTGAACATTTAAGAATTTTTGTGATTCAAAGGGAAAATTATAAAATAGAAATAATCCATCTATTATTATTATTATTCAACTGTTTAATTGAGTATATAAAATGTAATGAAATAGTAAAAGTGTGTCTTGATTCTGAAAATTTGAGTCTTACTATTCTAGTTCTATCAGCATTCAGTGTGAACCAATCATAATGAAGTAAAATATTTTAAATAAATTTGGCTAAATGAAGGACTTCTGCCTTTAAGGTGTTTTTAATTTATTTTTATATATATATATTTTTCTACTAATCAAAGATGCGTACACATTTCGCTGAGTATAACTTTTGTTTTATGTTTTAAAGTATATTGTTAGATGGATGACAGCCGTCAATAAATAATCCCTAATAAGCTACTTCACACGGTATTAAACGTTTAAATGCAGCTTTTTTTAAAATTTTTATTGATATAGTTATGATAGACTGTGTAGCAAAACTGTTGCAATCAGATTAAGGAATATGGTCTGATTTTTTAAAAACCTAATTTCAAGTCAGTCACTGTTTCAATATATAGTTTAAAGATTTCACCTACATGTCACCAAAATCATTACCAAATAGGCTATTGGGAACTTTCATCAACTGCTGCTTTCTTTCGATACTGGATATCAGATGGTCGGCTAGAAGGGATAAGTGATAAACAGTTCTAACAACAAAGCAAACCAGAACTTATCTCTGGGAAAATGTTCAGAAGGAAACTGAGATGTACTGAATATATTCTGATGGGGCCATTGACTGACATCAAACAGCAAACAGGCCGTTAAGAGAAAACCGAATGCAAAGTGATAAATTGAGAGTCAGAGATTGACATGGAGGAGATCATGAAGAGTGGAAATTAAAGCCGACTTAAATAGACAGTGGAGAACAAAGTTAAGCCGGGATGTGCTTCTAAAGTTCTGTTTCACTTAAAACGCTAAGGAGAAATTATCATGTGGTTATATCTAAGGATGAATTACTTAATCAATATGTTGTCTGCCAGATTTTATAGGTTTTCTACCCCTTGGAATTGATAATTTCATGTTGAAACCTTAAAACAGCCCGCTACAATGTTTCCCTGTTTATGTATCCTTGTTTAAAAAGCCAATTATTCCGCATGGTAAGGCAAGAACTCCTTATGAATAATTTGTCTTTCTTCCTAAACTTTACTCTCCTGGAGTATCTGCTTGGTAGTGAAAAATGGAAACAAAATACAAGTTTGAAAAATTCGCCTTAACAAAGACATTTTAAAAATGTAACCCAAGTTATACAGTGTAGGTTGGCGTAAATAATTTGAAAAATAATCATTTTTTGCTACTGGTACAACATATTTCATGTGTGAAAAATGTCCGAGTAATAGAAGTTATAAAGACTTAGGTCAAAAAAGAATATTCATTTTTGAACCTGTACTTCAATTCTCCATGGTTAAATAGTGTTCTTAAAAGTCACGGAAATACCGAAAAACATCAGTTACCAATATCAGCTGTTGACAAAATGTCAAACTACATGACCGAATTTTGCAATTTATTCATTTTTGTTTCCTTATGTCCAGTTTTTCATATTTTTTTTGCCTACCAATGTTTATGAGTGGAATTTTCCACGACCTTTTCTAGAATTCTATTTAACAGTACAACTTTAATGAGTGGTTATAAAACAAATGCTCCTTATTGACCTGTATTTTTTTCAACAAGTACTTATGATTATGATTAAGTGAGTTCACCGCGAAGTTTGAAGTTTTGTTACTTGCCACAAATTAATTAATTATTAAAATACAGCATAGCAGATGGTCACATGTTAACAAACAACAGGACCATATTAATTTCCGAGTATTTATGGCTAATAAATGAGAACTGCTGACAGTTCAGTAATAGAATGCTTGCCAACCACTCCCACAATCTGGGCTCAACCCCCAGGGGACGCATTCCTTAGACCTCGCTTCCCCTGTATTATGTGAATAGCGAAGGTCAGCCGTGAACCAGTCGACCCTACTCCGTGGAACAAAACCACTGTGGCTGAAATTTTAAAGCTCTCTCTTCATGTATGAGCAGGGGAATGAAGAAAAATTAAAGTCATGTGTGGTTGCTATAAGTCTGAATACTATTTTCATATGTTTTATAATGATACGTTCAGTACTACTACATTTAAAATCTATGTACCCAGATGCACACGCCTATTTCTTTACGTTCAAGCTAGATGCTTGAACTTTCGGTAGCAGTGGTGTTTATTTTTCATGGGTTGGGGTTGGTAACCTCATGCCCAACCTTCCCGCTCTACCAGTCTTATTACTGGCTTAGCGAGGTAAAGGAGTGTGTCGACCAGAGGTGAAACTCCGAGTTACCTGCGAGGTTGGAGAGTATTTTATCACTGTGCCACCAGCGCACTGTATCCAGATAATTTAACTAAGAGGTAACCACACTAGATGAACAGTGAAAACGGCCCAAAAAAAGTGTCTTACTTTTGGCTTAGTTATAACAAAAGTCACTCCAAATAACTGTCCAACATAGATATTATATAATGTCATGACTATGGGAATACTAAGTAGGAGAAGAGACGTTTTCAGCTGGAAAACATTACGGTTATGCCACATGATTTCTGATAAATCATAATAGCTGCATATGACCTATGAAGAAATACTTTAAGGATTGTCAGTAAGCAATTTAAAGATGAACAAACCACAACGATTCAGACGGATAAAGCTTTGAATTTCTTTAATGCGGTAAGTTCCAAACAATTGTATTGTTAGCAGCTGTATAAAGGAAATTTTTCTACATGTTCGTTCGATCCGTCAGTCTAGCTAAAGCTATTAATTAATTGTGCACAGTGACAAAGATGAAACTAAATGGTGACAGTAATTTTTTAACATTCTACAAAAACTTGCAAATATTATCATTAGGTGATGTTAAGCACATAAAAGAGGCTCATCCTATCTGCCATAAACCTAGTTTGTTTTACTGTATTTTAGCTCTTGATCTTCTATTTCTTTTCTTTTGTCTTTAGTTAAAACGTCGTCCTTTTTGACACTCGATGTCTGGATACACCAGCAGTCACCAATGAGTGATTGTAATTGCATCGCAGTCTTTATGGAAAAACCATCATTCACTGGAGATTGCTGGTGTACATCCAGCTGAAAAGTCCCAAACGGGATTCCTCTGCTAATCACCTTTCATTAAATAACATAACAGTAATCTTCATACATAAGTTGAAGCTTCTGTAATGGGAGCCGACGTGTCATCAGAGGTTTAACATCACGGTCGAATCAGTCAACAGGAGATACAAAAGTGACCTAAAGAAATCATTTCATTCTGTTTTTATCTGCACCTTAACCATACTAAACTATATTTCTAATTCCATATTAGTTCGTTTACTAGGTGTATCACACAGTGAAACAGTATCATTATTTATTGGATGACGTTTCGAACAAAATCTATTGTTCATATTCATATCAATTATGAACACACGATTTCGAAATCTGAGATTTATAGTTTTCTTTGTTCCCTCCTATTTGTAGTAAGGGCTGTAGAATTTTCCAGATATCTGGATAGACAGCTGTTGAATCATTCCTATTACACGTATTTGCAGTTGATTCGATAAACAAAGCTTTACAGGAAACCCGCGCACTCCAACAGATATTTGGACTTCTGATCATCCCATCCTATGTCAGTGAAAATTGGTTTGGTGAAATGTTTAAACAATAGAGCACAAAAACTAAGTAGTACCAAGGGAAATGTAAAACAGGAGATGAGGTATATAAGGGAAGCTTTGAAACTTAATAATTACCCTGATAAATTAGTCACGAAATATGTAGGGAAATGTAAAAATAAAAATAAAATAAACAATGGTAGGAGTGATAGTGATAATAATAATAGTAATAATAATGGAGATAATAATAATATTATTACTGATGACGACATGCATGGGAAACATGCGCAAGACAACTGCAACAATAAGGAATCTAAATCATCAGTAATAATTCCATACAAGGAAGGAACGTCGAAAACCTAACGCAGAATTCTTAATATTCACTCCACTTGAATCCATCTTTGTCACTGTGTGCTACACCATTTAGTTAGTAACTGAAACAATGCTATATTTTGATACTAATTATAATCCGAATAAATCTGCTGAAGAAGCTGTGGCTTACACAGCGAAATGTTCAGAAAAATCTTGTTTTGATTTTCTTAACACGCTCGGATTAATTTAAATAATTTATAATGAATCAATATGACTCGGCGCTCAAATTATTCCAGGAAGTTCGTAACACCTTCGGTCTGGAAACCTATGAAACAATGCTGATTTCATATTCTTTGTATGGTAATCCTGGGTATTCCCCATAATTGTGCACTTCGGTGGCACAGAGGTTAGCACCCTCGCTGACCATGAACATGGTTTGGAGTTCGATCCCCTGCTGACGCACTCTTGATATCATTGGTCGGTCTGCGAAA